TAGAACATAGACCTAGGAGGTCTAGCAGTGCATTTGATGGAATCAGTCCAGCCGAGCCGATGCACAAACAACAACGGCCATATGAGCCTCGAATGAGGCCACAACCCCTATCTCCTACAACTCAGCAATCGAAGGAAAGGCAAAAAGTACCCCCGTGTTGTTCCGCCTAGAAATTGGCGTCAAAGGAGGGAAGAGGAGGCTAGGAACCAAACAGGTCCTTTCCATCTTTCCACCCAGATAAGAGGCTGATGAGAACAATGATTCAGACAAGCCATAGAGATGTTGTGATTTAGATGACGATGACAAAAACTTGCCATTTTCTAGAGAATTGAGAAGTGCTCAGGTTTCGAGCTACTATGTGATGCCAAAGATATCAAAGTATGATGGGAGAGGTGACCCGAAAAAACACCTGAACACTTACAAAAATTCACATGAGCTTGAGAGGTACTATCCCAGCAGTAAAGTGTAGGGCTCTCCACTTAACTATTAGTGGAGCAGCTGAAATTTGGTATAGTTGGCTACTCTCTTAGAAGCGTAAGAAGTTGGCCAAAATTTAAGTCCATTATCTTGAAAAGGCTTGTTGTAAGAAGGGAATGACCCCTATTCAACGCCTCCAGGATATAAGACAATAGCCTGGGAAATCCTTGAAAAGTTTCTTCTCACGTTTTACTAACGAATTGACATATTGCGTACAAGTGACCAATCATGAGGCCCTATCAGTGCTGCGAGGAGGTTAAAATATGAACACTTGTTCTGGAGGGACATACAATGTCAGGACCCCACCACCTATAATGTGCTTTAGGAGATGATGAGAAGGGAGATTATCAACGAAAAATGATTGACCATAGGAATAGCGCCAACAGAGGTCTCCTACCTCTACAAAGGCAGTGCGGAAAAGGATTGACTTTCCACTTGATGGATTACCAAATGAATCAGGCTAGTAACAATAATTCAGGACAAGCACTCACTACCGCCATCGGCCTATGAGTATGTTACTCCAGGGACAAGTGCATAATCGGCTAGAAAGCAACGATAGGCCCCTCGTCAAGGAAGAGGCCAAGGACGAGGTTCCAAACCTAGGCCTAGGGTAAAACCCCTCGAATATTGTACCTACCACCATTCATATATGCATGAAACGACGAACTGTAGAGATATCGCTCGGCACTCAATGCGGGAGAGCTCCTGAAATGACAGGAGTGGTTCACCACAAGTGAACAAGCCCCCATCTAGGAACGATCAACAGCCTAGACGAGATTAGCCCGCTCTCCGCTAGCGAGATATATCCCTTCGTCAGAGGAGGGAGCAAAATAATGGGAGGCCCCAAGATGGACAGAGACAACATAGGGGCTATTAAGCTCAACCAGAGGAAGCTCACATTCATGAGATAGATACCATATTTAGAGGCCTTATGTTAGTAGTGAAACATGAAATGCCCAGAGAAATTATGCCCCGGGAGTCTAAAGACCCCCAGTTGACCAGCTACATTGTTGATGGCAGCAACGAAAGAATTCAAGAACCACCAATCTTCTTCACTTAGGAAGAAGCGGAAAGGGTTCACTTTCCCCATTGTGATGCATTTGTTGTAAAAGCCGTGGTCGCCTGAAATGGGCATATGTGAATGCTCATTGACAACGATAGTTCCGTAAATTGTGTTTTTGGATCCACCTTCGACAAGGTATTTTTTGATCATGAGTTGATTCCCACTATTACTCTCTTGTATAAATTTATAGGAGATAATATCACTCCGAGGGGGAGCATCACACTTGCAGTAGAAAATGGAAGAACCACCTCAAATTACTCTAAACTTCATGGAGTTTCTAATAGTGGACAATTGGTCGGCTTATCACAGACTGCTAGGAAGACCCGTTTTGAAAGACTTAGAAGCCGTAATTTCCATTCACCACTTATGCATGAAATTTCCAGCCGTGAGGGACGACCAAAGAGGAACGTGGGAGTATTACCTAAGTTATATAAGAAAGGCTAAACCTCAGGACATCAACGTTATAATAGTTGACATGGACATGATCAACGTCCAAGGTAAACCAAGCCACGAGCACGAATATGTTGAGATGATTGACGCTCTCTTGAATGCGAGGAAATATTTATATATGATGAGGTCAACACTGTATGGCTGAAAATAAACCCCTAACAGGTCCAATAGATGAACTAAAGAGTTTTTCAATGGACCCCCAGGACCTCGCCAAGATGTTAAATGTGGGAAAGGATCTCTTTTTGGAAATGAAAGAGAAACTCAAAGACTTTCTTGGTAGGAAATTTTATGTCTTTGCATGGAAGTATGAGAACATGGTAGGGCATTGACCCTAAGGTCAGTTGCCACCACCTCCTTCCAATCTCTGAAGGGCGACGTCGGCTGGACACCATTCTTTTAGCAGTCTTAGATGTGTTCTACTCCTGTACATTTTTACTACTAACTACATAATTCAAATCATAAAAGCAAAAGGTAAGCAAGAAAACACCTCTTCACACATAGAATCCATCACCTCTTTTCACATAGAAATCTTTTATTTCGTAGCTATATCTATATTTCCTTATCTATATCCTCCTCAAATTAGAACTAATTTATATACAAATCCTATACAAGGCAGTTGATAAGAATTAAGAAGATGACTATGATTCCAAAAACTGTTCTTTCTCATTACATTCTCATTGTTCACATAGTACATTAAGGGTACGTAAGATTGAATAATATTAAGAAAGAGGAGCATGCTGAAAAATTTGTCAGTTATCATGTCTAATCAATGTAAACCACATAGTACATTAAGGGTATGTAGGATTGAAGAATATTAACAAAGAAAATATTAACTACATAACAATGATGTAATTTGAACTCACCTTAACTTATAAATTTGAACAAGAAATCGATAAACCAGGCAATGAATCGTGTACAACCTAATTTGCAAATGCCCATTAACAAATACCATTCAATTTTCCCAATTTCTTCTTCTTCTTTGCTGTTATGCGTCTTTTTTGCTGGTTTTCTTTTTTCGCTAAAGCTGTTGTTTTCTTTCGATTAAGGTTGAGGGCGTATTTTTTTTTCCTTTTTTTGGGGTTAAAGATTCCGGTCAAACGGACAATTGGGCTTTCATTGGGCTAGGTTCATAATTATATATTATGTGGGCTTCTCTTGGGCTGGGTTTATAATTATTTATTGGGGTTCTCTTGGGTTGAATCATTTGAAAAGTCCAAAATTAAAAAAATAAGAAAATAAAATAAACAAAGAAATTAGATTGAGCCCAAAGTCCAATGCGAGTGTTGGGCTAAACCAACTGAAAGCCTAATAGCCAAAGAAATTATGCTCAGGAGGCTAAACACCCCATTGGAAGGGGTTCACTTTTCCCATTGTGATGTGCTTGTTGTAAAAGCCGTGGTGGCTCGAAACGGGCTTAAGCGAATGCTCGTTGATAACGACAGTTCCGTAAATATTCTTTTTGGATCCACCTTTGATAAGATGGATTTTAGATCATGAGTTAACTCCCACCACCACTTTCTTGTATGGATTTATCGGAGATAACATCACTCCGATGGGAAGCATCACACTTGCAGTTGAAGTGGGAGAACCACCTCAGACTACTCTAAACTTCATGGAGTTTCTAATAGTGGACACTCCGTCAACTTATCACGGAAAGCTGGGAAGACCCGCTTTGAAAGACTTAGGAGCCGTCATCTCTATCTACCACTTATGCATGAAATTTCCAAACGAACATGGGGTGGCAACCATGAGGGGCAACGAGAGAGGAGCGCGAGAATGCTACCTAAGTTCTATAAGGAAGGCTAAACCTCGGGACATCAACGTTATAATAGTTGACATGGACATGATTGACGTCCCGGGTGAACCGAGCCACAAGCACGAAGACGTTGAGATAATTGACGCTCCACTTGAACGTGAGGAAATATTCATACATGACGCAGTCGACCCCCTATTTTTGTGCTAGGTTTTGGGTACTTATAGTTCAAGGTGTTTAGGTAGTTTAGGCTGGATAAAACACTTTAAAAATGTGAATTCGATTTTCTCAGAATACACTGCCGCTCGAGTGATGGCTCAGGGATAGGCAAGCGAAGATGTTTCACTTAAGCTAAGTCGGTGCGCGACAGCGAGTGAAGATCATTATGTTTTTGTTTCTCGATCAATGTCTTGGCTAACAGCTAGCGAAATTGCGACATCTCTTCTCTCCTTATTTCGGACTTGAACCCTAACGTACCTAACTTATCTATACAAAATTTCACCTAACTCTTTGACCTTTACACATTTAATTTAGTCATTTTTTTTCACAGAATCGCTTGTGAGAAAATAGATTTCACAGGCATTTTTGTGTATTTTAAAATCCACACATTTGAATGTGCATTGTTAAGATATATTCTACGCAAAAGAAGTTTCCTAGTGATAAATGCAAAATAAAACCACACTGATTTGGATCCTATTTTCTTCTTGACATGCTTAGTTTTCATTGTTCAACTGGGTTTGGTCATCGTAGGCACATAAGAGCAAAGCATTATTGTAGATAGTTTTCATTAAATGAACAAAGAAGAAAAGTAGGGAAGCTTGGAAGTTAAAATAGACGGACGAAACTAGACAACAATTTCCACAAGTCCAAGCCCCACAACATCAACCACTACGTAAAGTAGATACCAGATATTTAAGAAATTCGCTAAGTCAAGTCATTATAATTGACCTTTTGGAACCATTTCATATATTTATATATGAAGGATCGTGCTCCCTTCCAAGGCTGCATATAGATCAAAGTTGCCATGAGAAAGAATATGATCGTGGTATTATTGGCAATAGTTTACTTTCATATACACATGGTTACATCTTTCAATACGTCAATTGTCGAGTTTGCTCTTCTAGCATTCAAGTCTCAAATTTTTTATTCAAATAATATCTTGGCCAAAACTGGTCACAAAGAGCATCTATTTTCAATTGGATTGATATTACATGTGGTCGCAAGCACCAACAGGTGACAATCTTGAATCTTGCAAATATGAGTCTAGGAGGAACTACTGCTAAAGAAGTTGGCAATATCTCTTTTTTGAGATCCTTTGTTATTGCAAATAACACCTTCCACAGATTTATCCCCGATGAAATGTGTAATTTGAGCCGACTCAAGGAAATAGAGATTCAATACAATGAGTTATTTCAAAAAAATTTGGATTTCTTCGAAATCTTGAAAAAATAAATCTAGTTGGAAATAATCTCACCAGGGAGATCCCAAAGACAATATTCAACATAACTTCTGTTTCACGCGGGTTAGTCGCTAACAATTAAAAAGGGATCAGACGATTGTGTAAGGGACAAACTGCTTCATTAACTGCACTTTTTTGGGTAACCATAACATCTTATGTTTGCTAAGATGCTAGGAAACTCGAATGTTTGGACGAGAGCAGGGTCACAGTTCTGGCCGACTGCATGACAATTCATTCACTCAAATCTTGGGCGACTTGCAACCTTGCGCGATGGTATTACCTCGTTCATGGGCGTCCCTATTTGGGCTTTTATCTTGTATTGCCTGATTGGGTCATTCTTTTAGATTATTTGATTTTGGGGATCTTCCAATTGGGCTTCATTCCTTGGGCTATTCGAGTTGGGCTGAACTTTTTGTGTGTCAACAATTACCCCCCAATTTGGCAGAATTAATACCAATTATTAATTTTTTGCCATATTCAATTTGTGTTTTCCAGCAACATTTGAAATTCTCAAGAATTTCAATCATTGTTTTCTTCCATAGACTGAAAAGATGCGACGTTTGCAAACCCTTATAACCCCCAAATACGCTATTTCATTGTACCACTAAATCACGCCTCATTTTTTTGCGCCTCTCTCGTAATATTATTGTTCATCTCCTTGCTTCTATGCTACGTAACTCTGAAAAACTCTATCTCGTCCTTAATGACTGCTTCACAATCCCAGTCTGGTGACTCCTTCAGTTTCGAAGACTTTCAGAAACTCCTTACTCGGCCATATATAACTCCGAACTTCCTTGCACCGGCCAATGTCGAACTCAGTGAGTTCTATCTAGGTCCTTTACTCAATAATGCCGAGGCCATCGAACAAACGGCGGTCGGTCAGCTGTTTCCTTGTACTCAGGGCCCTCCGTTTCTAAATTCTTCGCCGTTGGGGCCACTTCGCGAAAGAGGTATTCGCAATTGGCCTAAATTTAATGTCCTTTTTCGTAGATTGCATGCTCGCCTTGTGGACCATGGTCCTACTAAGGCAATTTTGATAATGCTAGGATTTCTGATTTGTTAGAAATCTCTCTTCAACCCCCTATTTTTGACCCAGTACTTTTCCAATCGCTTTAAGTTTTTTATCTTCTGAGTATAATACTTTTATTTTTCCTCTTGGTCCCATGTCCATTACCTCAAGGGATGTTGGGGCCCTAGTAAATCTGTCACCTTTGGGCGATACCATTTTCCCTGGTATTTTGATTTCTAGTGTGCCCCAAAATTTGGTAAAGGCCTCACTGAGTCTTATTCAAGCCTGCAAACCCTTCATAACCACTCGAGCGCTGAGCCTTCCCATACCGAGCGAGTGGCCTTTCTTCTGATTTGGCTTTGTAAATACATTTTGTGTGTGCCAAGCATAAAGCCCTTCCTGAACTATTTACCCATAGCACACGAATTGGCGCGTGGTAGGCCTCTGAATTTATGTTATTTCTTTTTAGCTGCCCTTTATAGAGGCATGGCTTCTCTTCAATCCCAATTGAAGAATGGTGCATCTCCCACTGGCCGTGGGCCTCTTTAGTTCGCTCAAATGTGATTGAGAGTCTATTTTTCATCGCTCGGTGCTCCATCTTTTTCCAGTCCTTCTGCTAGCTGCTATGGGCTAGCTATTGAGCCCCTGACTCCTGTAAATATGTCCAGAAGGGACATTTTTTCATTCTTTTATACTTTGGATTCAATCCCTTCCTTGCTTCCTTTTCCTCCCTTTTTGACTCCAGATTATGTGCAACCTCCATCCACTCTGAATAGTGCGAACACTTCCTTGTTTGTTTGGATTCAGTTTTTTACTGGGAGGGAGTTGTTCCATGATATTTTGATTGGGACCAATGCTAAGGCTGGGGTAGAGATATATGCTTCCCAATTTTTTGCTCGCCAACTTGGTTTTGGCCAAACTTGGCCCGTTCCCCCTTGCTATTCAAGGAATTTGATAGACCGCTTCCACACCATTAATAAGGTAAAGGCAGAGGCTATAAATGCTCGCAATCTTCTTTTGACGAGAAAATTTTCATTAGCCCCCTTCAATCCTAGCCGTGCCATCCGTCCCCTTTTTGAACGACTCTGGCCGTCAATGAAATGCAGATTGTTTGCGACTGATGCCAATCGTGCTTTCCATTCACTAGACCAGCCAAACATTTCTTCCACCTCTCCTGTTTTGGTCACTCCTATGTCCATTAGGAGCCCCTCTTCTTCTACTCGTGCTAAACAATCTGCCCGTCCATCGACTTTTCTTCCTGCCAAGCCCACTGCAGCTAAAAGTGCCCCAAGCTGCAAACGGCCAGCCTCAGCGTCTTCCATTTTGGAGGATGATGATGATGATACCCCTCTCATCGTCAGGAGGAAGGTAATTAAATCGATTTACTCATAAGCATACCTTTCCATACTTGAGACTTTTCCATGTGCTGATAGTTTATTTGGACCTCTCAGAAAAGTTCAACCTCTCCCTTGAAGGCTTTGGTGTTGGCAACTCCTGCTCCATCATCCTCTGCTGGGGCTGCTTCGTCCAAACCAGCTGATGAAGGGACTACGCTTAAAGAGAAATCTTCAGTCCCAGAATCTTCATCACAACCAATGGACGAGCTACCTTCTTCCTAGGGCGTTGACCCCCCAAACGTCGAAGCAGAAGGTAATTCGTTTTTTGATGCTTTACCTTTGCTTGTGCTATTGGTGTTGATTTGTTGTCTTTTGAGTTCTGCAGATATTCCCATGAGTCTGCCCATTGCGGCAAGGTCTTCTCGCTTAGACAAGGGGAAGTCCTCACGAATGGTAGAGCCACAGGTGGCAGATTTGGCTGGGGATATGCCATCTTCCAAGATTGCTGATGAGGTAATCTTTACTTCACCTTTACCTCCACTTTGTTTAGTGTAGTGGAAACCTTCAATATTGGCGATTTTCTTCGCAGGATGCTGATAAAATTGTGCATTCCATTCAAGACTTGTTCACTTCTTGGGGGCAAGTAAAAACATCTCGCCCTGCTTCAGCCAGTTATCCTTCTGCTTCTTCAGAGGACGATATGAAGTTCCTCAAGCAATCGATATTTGAGTATGTGTCCTCCATGGATATGGACATCGGTAAGGCTAGTGCTGCCAGGCATAAGGATAAGCTTGAGCATTTGAATGTGAAATTGGAGCAAGCACTGACACTTCCGTCGCTCAATCTTTCTGCTGATTTTAAAGCGACGTTGAAAGTTATCCATTCCGAGGTCCTCTCCTTGCTGGCCAAGAATGTTGAACTGAAGGCCAAAAGTATTCAATATCTTTGCGCCGTATCTGAAAAAGAGTCTTTGCTACTGGAGATCAACAAAGCTGAGGACGAGTTGAAAGAAATCTCTTCTGAAGTCATGATTGAAGACTCTTTGATGACTAGTTTGGCTGCTCAAATGAAGGAACTTCAAGCCAAGATGAACGACTGCAAGGCGAGAATGGCTGTTAAAAAGTGTAATGCCTCCCAAGGAATTGAGCGAACTAAGTCTCTGGTCGAGCAGTACAAGAAGTTGGAAGTTGATGATGATGTTGTGGCTGAATTGAACATCACTTCTTCTCGGCAGAACGAGGACTGGGGAAAACTTAGGGAAAGAATTCGTTTGGTATAGGGCGAATTGTAATTAAGACATAAAATGCCTTAACTTTTTCTTTTTATAATTTCGTATTGACTTTCCCTTTGTAACCTTGTACTGCTATAACAGCAGCCATCATTGTTAATGAATAACTATTTTAGCCCCTTGTGTATTTATTGACGTTCATTTTTTTTAATCGTCAATCGCTCAGGCATATAACTGCTTTATGCTAAAATTTTTGCACATTTTTTCTTGATATTTCTGTCCGACTTTGGGCCACCTAATCCCATTTACTAGACACGAATATGGCTGCTTATATTATGTCTTTTCACCTTCACCTCCCTATAAATGCACGTATACTTCATACTTTCCATCTTCATTTCCATTTTCTTCTTCAAAAAACCGATTTGCTGCCATTGCTTGGCATTTTTGACAATCAATCAAAAGCTTTCGTTTTCCATGGAAATGGATCATCTGATCCGCCAACTTTGCCATCTTTCTTGATGTCACCTTTGGTATGGGAGATATAGGAAATATTCTTTGGCCAGCAGCAAAGTTCTTCCCATCGTCTCCGTTCCTACAAGGAGTTTAATGATGAAAGACAATTTTTTGGGGTGCTGGCCCACCTTGCTTGCTGAGAGTGCTTCTCAGCCTCCTTGCCTGTCATTGCAGTGATGCATTTAGGAAGGCGATGTGAGGGTGTTTCATCTTCCTTTCTGCTTGCTGAGAGTGCTTCTCAGCCTCTCTGCTTGCCTTTGCAGCAGTGCGATCAGGATGGCGATCAAGGCTAGTACACCCTCTTACTCGGCGATCGACCGGAAGATTAGTTTGCTCTTAATCGTAGTTTATAGAGCATTTAGCATCTTGTATTTCGCAGTTTTGTAATGAACATTTGATAATAAAGGAATTTATTTGAACGTATTTCGCTCTGGCCCTTTTTACTCTACGATCGTTCAATGCAATTTGGTTACGCTTTTATTTGTTCACTTTTCCATAAGGAAAGAACATATTTTTTCAAATATTTGCCATTAATGAACCTCATGTGCTTGGTGCCATCTAAATCTTCCAAATGATAGGCTCCATTAGGCAATACATTATTCACTTTATATGGTCCTTCCCAATTGGGCGACCATTTGCCATACTTTGGATCTTTGCTATCCAAAGGGAGTACTGTCTTCCAAACCAGTTCGCCCAGGTTGAACGACTTGGCTATAACTTTTTTATTATAAAATTTAGCCATTCTTCGTTTTTGAACTTGCAATCTATCTAGGACGTCTAACTTTAATTCGTCCAACTCTAATAAGTTTTGAACCAGTGATTCGGCATACTTATCATCACTTAACTTATGTTGCAAACACACTCTGATTGATTGCACGTTAATTTCCATAGGCAAAACGGCCTCCTGTCCATAAGTAAGTTGGAAATAAGTAATTTTGGTACTTGATCGAGGCGACATCCTATAAGCCCATAAGGCTTTGTTCAGACATTCGTGCCAATTTGTGGCATTTTCATCGATTATTTTCCTTATGATATTTTTTAGAATCTTATTAGAAGATTCTGCTTGCCCGTTGGATTGAGCGTAATATGGTGTGGAGTTTACTAATTTAACTCCAAACTCGCTCAAGAATTTATTCACTTGATCCCCATTTAAAGATGTCCCGTGATCTACCATCAAAGTTTGTGGAATTCCAAATCTATAAATGATGGGATCACGGATAAATTCTATGACATTCTTCTGGGTGATCTCCTTTAAAGGTACCGCCTCTACCCATTTAGTGAAATAATCGATTGCAACATAACAAAAGTATGTTGCTTGGACGATGGGGGATAAATCTTCCCTATCAGGTTTATCGCCCAACCCTTGAACGGCCAAGGTTTAATAATAGGTGTCATCTCTCGTGTTGGCACCCTTTGTATTGGACCATGCTTTTGGCATGCTAAACAATTCTTTGCATACTGAACGTATAACTATGCCATCTTTGGCAAAAAATATATACTCCTAATAATTAACCATCACATCCTTTGGCCAGCTTGATGAGCTCCACATATCCCTTCGTGCACTTCAGCCATGATCGTCTTGGCTTCTTGCAAACTTACACATTTTAGCAGTATACCATCAGAGCGTTTCTTGAACAACTCTTTATCTATCAGTGCATAGTTTAGCAAACGCAACTTCATTTTTCTACTATCTCTTTTATTAGGTTCTTTAAGGAACGCCTTAATTTCTGCCCTCCAATCCATTGCATCTCCATCTTGTATGCAATGAAGTTCAATCCTTCTCGCCTTTCTTTGGATCACGGGCAATATTGTTCCAACTTAAAACCTTTGAGTACCCTGAGGCCATCTGGGCCAACTCATTTGTCACGTCATTGTATATCCTATTAACGTATTGAAGTTCTACTTGGTCGAATTCTTTTAATAACTCTTGGGCGATTTCATATTGACTCATGAAATCACCAATCAGTTGGTGAATTGCCAATTGAGAATCGCCTCTAATGTTTACATTTTTTACCCCCATATCTATCATTAGCTCCAGGCCCATGATTAAGGCTTCATATTCGGCTTGATTGTTGGTGCACATCCTATCCAAAGTGAATGCGAACTTGTAGCAAATCCCTAAAGGATTTATCAATGCTACTCCTACTTCTGCACCTTTAGAGGTTTTTGACCCATCGAAATACATCACCCAAGGTTTTAGCTCGAATGAATTGATTTCTAATTCAATTTCTTCAGGCATGTCAAGGCATGGATGATCGGCTAGAAAGTTAGCCAAGGCCTAAGTTTTGACTGCCTTTTGGGGTATGTATTGTATTTCGAATTCTGATAAAGCTAATGTCCAAAGGCCTACCCTTTGGTGTAAAATAGGGCGAGAGAACATATACTTAATTAAATTTACTCTAGAAATCAAATAAACGGTTACGAGCCGTAAATAAGCCCTTAATTTTGTACATGTGAAATACAATGCATGACATAATTTTTCGATAGCAGAGTAATTACATTCACATTTTGTTAACCATCTACTGAAGTAGTAAATCGCCCTCTCTTCACCGAATTGGTCTTCTTGCGCGACCATTCTAGTTATTTATTCTTTTTCAGTCGATACATACACTTTCATTGGTCGTCCTTGGATTGGTGACACCAACACTGGTGGACTTGATAAATATATCTTCAGGCTTTCAAAAGCCTTTTGATGTTCTTCTTTCCAGACGAATTCGTCCTATTTTTTCAGCTTTAAAAGTGGCGAAAAGACTTTAGTTCGCCCTGCACAGTTAGAAATAAAGCGTCTTAAAAAGTTTACTTGGCCTAGAAATCTTTGCAATTTTTTTTTGTTGCTAGGTGGTTTGGCCTCTAGAATGGTCTTCGCTTTATTTTTATCAAGTTCAATCCCTCTTTTGTGTACCAAGAAATCAAGAAAATTTCCAACTTTAGTTTATATTGCTTCATTCGCTCAAATGAATATCTTAACTATTCAAAATGGTCCTCTTCTTTAATGGATTTGACCACTATATCGTCTACATACACTTCAACAAACTTGCCTAGCATATCATGAAAAATTAAATTCATTGCCCTTTGATAAGTTGCTCCTGCATTTTTCAGGCCGAAAGGCATGACTACCCATTCGAAACATCCTAGAGACCTAGGGCATCTAAAGGCAGTTTTGTGTATGTCTTCCTCAGCTATATAAATTTGATTGTATCCTGAATACCCATCCATGAAAGAATAATGACGTGTCCGGCAGTTGAGTCTACTAAAGAATCTACCGTGGGCATTGGATACTCATCTTTGGGTGTGGCTATGTTTAAATTCCTAAAATCTATGCACACCCTTAGTTTACCATTCTTTTTTAGTACTGGCACGATATTGGACAACCATTCGACATACCTGGCTATTCTAATAAAACCTGCTTTTAATAATCGCTCTATCTCTTTCTTAATCTCAGGGAGTACATTAGGGACAAAACGTCTGGGAGGTTGCCTATGAGGTTTAAAATTGGGCTTAGTTGGTAATCTATATTCCACCAAGTCTCTATCTAAACCAGCCATTTGTTCATATTCCCAAGCAAAATAATCTTTATACTCCTTTAACAGAGCGACTAATTTATCACTAACCTCTTGATCGAGCATCTGGCTGATGAATGTTGGACGATCTTCTCCTTCATTGCCAATATTTACTTTAATTAGAGGGTCTTGTGCTTGA